CTCGTGAATGTCAAAAATAAACTCGATGTTTAGAAAGACAAAAACAACCACATATTAGAGTGCAAAAAAAGTTAGCAGCAAAGAACGAGAAGTGCATGTGGGAAAGCGATGAGTGAACTGGAGGAAAATTATGCTGATGTGAGAACAAGCCATATACCCGCGGAGTACTCGCTAAAACATCGAGAAAATGTGCCATTTCAAAGGGCACCCTTACAAATAATGTCTGCGATTGTGTGAACATGATAACGTGCAAACAAGGAACAGAGCTCGTGGTCCACTAGGAAACTTGATGACGCAGTTAGATGTATACGGCTGTTGAAAACAGAGATTCATTTCGATCTCATATAAGCAGGTTCACGTGGATGTATCATTTTCAACTATTACCAACAACGCTATGATAATAAAGACATTGTGAAATTCTTTTGTTTTTATGTAGAAAAATACAGTAATTTTACCAAGTAAAATCATATTTATTAAAATTGTTGTTCATACATGAGTTGTCAAACTAAACACACTACATAGTTTGTAATTTCATCCAGCTCCTTTCAGTCACGATTCAAGACAAATAAAGGCACAAATATAGATAATATAGCAAATTATTTTTTTCTGTAATATTCGTGTGTAATCAGTAATTATGAAAAAAAATTATGGATACATATGGAATACATTTCGTTATGAATTATTCTTAATACTACGATTACACACCAGTGTAATCGGTGTTAATGCAGGGGAATGACCATCTGCCCTCTCTAGGCCAACCCATAACATATCTTGACATCATGTTGCTTTACCATTCATTCAGTGTTTAATCAAGTTCAATATTATATAACATTATATAACAACATTGGTATTGTTTCTGTGAACCCTGACATTTAAGTTCTGCTTTACATAATCCTGCTTAATATTCAAACCTTAGCGCCACCAAGTTGCCTTGCGTACATAGCTGCAATGAGACTAGCATTCTCGTTCCTGCAAGCAGCCTGCTTACAACTCGTCATTTTGCTCCGATAATTCTCATCCTTCGTTCACCGATCAACATCTCAACGACGTTATTATGGGCAAGTCTAAAGCTACACGAAAGTCCGGTCGCACCACCCGCACGCCTGCTCGTTTCTCTACAACGGAAGAGCAACCCGTACAACCCCGAGTATCAAGAAATAGGTCCGCAACATCGTGTGACCTTCCAAGTAACATCGACATCTTGATCAGCGAAAAAATAGCCTCTGCACTGGCTAACATACAGCCGCAGAGCCAACCTCATGTTCAGCTTCAAGCAAGTTCCGCCGCTGCACGTACAGAAAATTCTGCAGCGATACTGTTATACTTCTAGTCTGGCTTACTATC